CAAAACACTATGATGGCCAAATAAAACACTTACAGAAGCTGGATTTGTGCTTTAAGTTGTATCGGTATCTTCCTGTTAGCTGGTGCAAGTAGGGCTGGGGTAGTACTAAGTTCTGAGTCCTGTGAGACAGAATTTCAGTGAGCTATGAGCAGGTGAAGCCACACAAGGGATGTAGATATCAGAAAGGCTGTTGAGAGAGTCTCATTGCAAGAAGAATTTAAAAATCACTCATTTAAAAAAATTCGTGGAATGAGATGTTTTAATTCAGTGAATTGTTTTAGATAAGTTTTTTAAACACTTTCTTCTGAAAAAAAAAGGACATCATGCTGTCTGATTTAACAGTATATTAAGCATATTTTGGGGGATTGAGGAACATTATTAGCATATTATCATAAAAATATGGATGTTGTCCAATAGAAAATAGGCAATGGGTATGTACTTATTATGGGCAATATAAGGAGATACTGAGACAGTTGCTTTATTAAAAGAAGGGGTGCATCTGGTTTGCTGGATTGGTCCTGGCTCACTCTTGTTGTTCTGGCATAATAGGGTCTTTCGTCCTGGATGATTGTTGTGCTGAATCCCTTTGACCTCAGTATGAATGATACCAGGTTCCTTAGGCCAAAGAAGAGACCCAGAGCTATCAAACGAGACGACATAGGGTTTTATTGGGGGCTTACATCCAGGGAAAAGAGTCTAGTGGTAGCCGGCTGGGCAGGAGAACCAACCTCAAAATCATGCAGTTTATATAGCATTTTCACTTAGCTTCCCCACCCTCAACAATCTCTATATGGCAGTCTTCCCTCAACCCAGAACTACGGTCCTCCATCTGGCCTGCATTCCACCAGACCTCAGAGGTTATGAGGTTGGGGGTTCTGATGTTCCTCATAGACAAATAATGAATCTCCTGGTTGGCCACTCCAGGATTCCCTAACTTGGAACATTCAGGTGCTCCTGCCATACATTGCTATCAGATGCATTTACCATGCACGCATAAATTGTATGGTCACCCTACATAATGTTAATATGATTTCTAGTTGCTGGTCCCCTTTTCACAGAGGTGGAATGAGGCAGGTATGCTGAATGCCCTTACTGTTTCCTATAAAATTAATCACTGAAGCAAAGGCTAAACCTCAGAATGACTCTTAGCCTTCCCTGAATGATCTTTACTGTTGCTGTCAGGGCTTTAACTTGTCAGCACCATCAAAAAGCATGACTGATTATTTCCGTATTACAGCTTTCAAAGCCATCCTTCCTGTTAACTTTAACCTACTCTTATGTCTATATCAAATTTAATTTGTGGTCTATGAGGGAGGCATAGCAATCCATATTTCAAGGATATATTTTTTTCATAATCGTCCTTAAATGATACTGAAGTAAAGATAATATAACACAAATTTTTTAAAAGTACGTTTTCAGGCAAACATTTTTGGGATATGAAATTGAAGGTACTAGGTACTACTTTGCAGGTGGATCCATTTTATTTTTTAAAAGCTTAAAATAACTTAGATGCTGAATGATACAGTGTTCCACATTTTTTCCAACTTGGAATAAAATATAGAAGACATTTTAATCAAGTTTGTGAATGAAAAAGTTTGAAGTAAATAATATTTTTAAATGAGATTGAGAATTCTTTAATAGCTTAAAACGATGACTGAAACATAAGGTGTAAGTTGAATAGGTCAGAATATTAATTTCTGCATTTAGATTAAAATAGTAGTTATGCAGTTATGCAAGTACAGGAATAAGGAAACAACATAGTTCATATGAAAAAGATATAATGGTTTTAGTTGAACACAGGCTCAGTATAATAATGGCTGTTTAGAATGTCAGTGTATTTACATTTCTAATGATATGTGAAACTAGATACTCTGAATTACTCCTCCACTAAAAATGAATACAAATAAAAGTGCTGGATAAATTATATATGGCAAGAAAACATGAAAATAAAAGACCAAACATTGGCCTGAAAGTGAAAGTAAGAAATCAGAGTGATAAGGGGAACACCCTTTTGGAGAGCACTTGCTGAGTCCAATTGAGTTTGGATTTTTTTTTGGTCACTTGTTGATCTGGAGATGATACAAAGCCCAAAGCCTGCTTTGGGGAAAAGAGTTTAGTAGACAATGTCTCCACATAGAGCTGGGACCTCTAAAGACTACTTTCATAGTGTATTGTAGAACTAGAAATATAACTTTTCCCTTGACCACCTCCCAATCTGCAGCAAATCTCAGAAAAACTACCTAGTATTTTGTAACCAGTAATAATCAGCATTCATGGAAGTTTGCAGTTCTAATTTTGATCTATGGGTGGTCCAAAGAAAAGACAAACATATAGTTGTAGAATGGTTCCACTATAGTAGCACAAGGCACAAGCTAGTGCAGGTCCTTTCTGGAGGGATCTTTCTTCAGTGCAAGCCTCGAAGAGTTCAAAAATTTTTAAGAAATTTTAATGACTGTCAAGAATCACAAAACAAATTAAACAAGACATCATCAATAGAACCAGCCAAAATAGTAGATAACAGAATTAGGGGTCTAATAATCTCAGATATTACAGTTGTCAGAATGTAAAATAACTTTTAAAGAAGTAGAAAGTATTTTAAGCATATTTTGTATATTAAGCATATAAAATGTGAATAAATAGCAAATGAATATAAAAATGACAAAGATCCGAAAAAAACTAAATATTGCTTGAGAAATTAAACATAATTGGAATTTAAAAATCAGCAAATAGGTTTATTGGCAAATTAGACATAGCCAGAGAAAGAATTAATCAACTGGAAGACAGTTCTCAGCTTTTGGACTGTGACCCACAGAAAGAAATTCACTTATTGGCACATGTGTATGTATATGATACTTGTTTATGATTTAAGCCAAAGTATCTAGGAACTGATCTTACCAGTTCTCTACTAAAGGTAATGTTCTCTACTATTTTGCTTTTCTCATTTATTCTTTTTTACTAAAAATGTTGGAACCAACCCAGGAAATTTGATAAACTATAGTGGGTCATGACCATAGTTTCAAAGAAAACTGATTTTATTAAAATTGAAAATGCATGTACCCTACAACCCAACACATGTCTACCATAGTTCAGAGCATTTTGTGTGGCACCAAAAAAAGAAAAAATAAAAAAACTGGAGGAAAAAAAACATGGATTGTAGAAAGCATAAGTTGTAGTTTATTTGTATAGTGGATTACTATAGGATGGGAGTGATATTAAAAACGAGCAATCAGTGCAGTATAGACACCATGCAGTTAGTATAGCTGCTGCCCATAAACAGCGAGCCTCAGCTCATACCTATGTGTGCCAGTGACTAACAGCCCTTTCTTTTTTTTTCTTTTTGAGATGGAATTTTGCTCTTGTTACCCAGACTGGAGTGCAATGGCACGATCTCAGCTCACTGCAACCTCTGCCTCCTGGGTTCAGGCAATTCTCCTGCCTCAGCCTCCTGAGTAGCTGGGATTACAGGCGCGTGCCACCATGCCCAGCTAATTTTTTGTATTTTTAGTAGAGACGGGGTTTCACCATGTTGACCAGGATGGTCTCAATCTCTTGACCTCATGATCCACCGCCTCGGCCTCCCAAAGTGCTGGGATTACAGGCGTGAGCCACCGCGCCCAGCCCTAACAGCCCTTTCTACACCTTTGAAAATGAATGAACTATCAGTTAATGCATCAACAACAGAAAAACAAGTTCTAAAAGATTTTATGTAGTATGATTCCATTCATATGAACTTCAGAAATTTGGACAAAACTTATATTGTTTAGGGTACAAGTATGTCTGTATGTATGTATGTATGTATGTATGTATATATGTATGTATTTATTTATTTCTGGAGACAGGGTCTGGCCCTGTCACCAAGGCTATAGTACAGTCACATAATTATAGCTCACTGCACCCTTTAACTCTTAGACTTGAGCAGTCCCCCTGCCTCAGTCTCCTTAGTAGCTGGGACTACAGATGATTACCATCATGCCTAGGTTTTTTTTGTTGTTCTTTTGTAGATAGGGAGTCTTGTTATGTTGCCCAGGCTGGTCTCAAACTCCTGGGTTCAAGCCATCCTCCTCCTTCAGCCCACCAAAGTGGTGGGATTACAGGTGTGAGCCACTGTGCCTGGACTAAACTATTTTTTAAAAGGCAGGGGTACACACAGAATTAAGAAGAGTTATTATCTCTTAGTGGAGGACAAGAGGGTGGATTAAGAAGGATCACAAAAGGAGCTTCAGAGGTGATAGTCATTTACTTTTTCTTCTTAAAATTGTGGATACATGAACATTTCTTTTTAACTATTTATACCTTACTTATTTTATGGTTACTCTTTTGCCTGTTCAACATTTAGTAAAATTAATTTTAAAAAGTCAAGGCAGGATTAACACAGGCAATAAATCATTTATCATGATCAACCCATTTTTAGAAAGTCATTTTTAGTTTTGTGTGTTAAATTTTAAATTTTATGGCCATTAACAAACTGGAATGTGTCCAGAGGAAAACATCCAGGGTGGTGATATAAACCACCAACCTGGTCTTGAGCCTTTCATTTTTCAAATGCAGATTCATACACATTCTATTGGTGGTTTTGACTTCCCTGGGTTGGCCTGCTAGTGCTTAATACAAACCTTGTTAACTCCCAGGGTATTGTACTTTTTGCTGCACGAATCAGAAATGTGTTCTAAGAAATTCCAGATGTTCTTTAGTATGATGATTTGCTAAAGGTTTTGTGTGGGAGGGAGGAGGCATTTAATGCTGTAACTGTAGACCCTATGGCATGTTACTGTATCATACCAAATAATAGCCCAGAAACAAGGGATCTTTCATTGCTGGGATCAGACAAACCCTCTGCTATCCACAGCTCCCAAAGGCATCACTTGATTCAGGTAGGTAGTATCCACTGAAGGGACATACTTGGGGAAAATTTAGTTTGGAGCCTTTCAGAGGAAAGGTGGGCTCAACCCTGTGGTTTTCTGTTTATGGCAGTGCAGGGATCCAGTTTGTCTGGCCAGGGCTTTAGCTTTGTATAAACAAGGAGGGGTAGGCAGATGGCAGCACTTGTCTGAATAATAATTACTTGAGGTATATGAGTAAATCAGCAATTATCGAGAATCTGCAATGTGCCAAGTGTTGGGTGTTTTCATAAAAATATTCCACTTCATAGGAAATGAAGTGGTCTTACCCATATCTTACAGATGTGGAATTTAAGGAGAGGTCACCAAAATTAATATTTGGGGGAGAGAAGAAGGGCAGGAGAGCAAGCTTTCAGCAGTGCCGTGCTAGGGCTGTGGAGTCCTGGCTAAAGGCAGTGTGCGGAGTGGTGGTTAGGAGCACAGATTGCAACAAATCAAGCTGGATTTCTATATGGTCTGCCATTTACTTGCAGGGAGACCTGGGACATATGTTCTTTAACTACCTGTGCCTCTTGCATCATCAGAAAATAAGGAAAATCCCTATTTCATGAGATTAAGAGAATTAAATGAATTAACATACATAAAGTACTTTGAACAGTGGCTTGGCACATAGGGCTTTAAAAGTGAAGAGTCTGGTGAAGTTTTTTTCTACATTGGCTTGTAGCAAGTGATTCTCTTTGTCTCTGTGACCCTGTAGCAGGGTCTGTCCTAAGTCTTAAAAGAGATTTTTATATCCCGTTAGTTTCCCAGCATCCAAACTTGGGTTCTGACACACCCAGAGAGTAGGTGTAGCCTTGATTTACATTCATTAGATCTTCCTCCTCCAGGATCCTGCACCTCCCAGAGCTATAGAGACCTACCAGTGGCAATTTTTAAAAGACATACCAGGTGTACTTATTTCCAAGAACTTGCTCGGCGGATGAGGAAACTAAAGCTCAGGGAGGTTGTGACTGTCCCAAGTTCACATGACAGAAGAGCTAAAATTAGAATGTTTGCTGTTATCTGTATTACCTCTAGAATGTACAGAGGAGAAGGACAGTTTTCCCTTTGAAGCCTTAATTTCATACAATGTGGATGACCTCACATATCTTGGTCCACTGGACTATCAAGACTTGTAGGTTCTCTGTACCCTTTTGGGTTCTAAGATGTGTAGGCTGCTCCCAGCTTTCAAGCTCTGCAAGAGCAGCTTACTTCTTCTTTGAGCACCTCTTTCAGCTGCTCCTCTTAACCCAGTTTTCCTCTAAACTGTGTGGGGACTGGACATTCATTGACTCCTTCCATGTGTTTCTTGTAGTCTTACCTATTCTTTCCAGCGGCCATTGGCTTCTCACAACACTGACAAGGCTCCTGGTTACTTACTGCTGTCTGTCTCTTCTTTTGCTGCCTCTTCTCTTTACTTTTAATTTCCTTTCTTTATCCTCTTCTCCCGTCTTATGTATTTGTACATGCTGTCACTTGTGTGTTTCTACCATTTTTCTTGTAACTTGGGGCAGGATTGAACTCTTGACTTCTGGAGCCATTGCTAGGCAGTGAATGTTCATGATGTGAAGTGACCAAAATCCACAGCACATCTTGTGAGCTGTGCAGTCCTGCCTCTTAGATTTCTTTTGACTAGGCTGGAACCAAATTGAATGTTATTAAAACAGCATTACAGCCAATATATGCTTTCATCAAGGGGAAAGAGTCTACCAAAATCAAGCCAAAAACCAGGATGCTGTAATTCGGTACCAAGGCAGGAAATGGTAAGATTTCAAAAACAGGTAAAGTATAATCTGTACAACTGCCTGGCTTAAGTGGTGTTTACATTTAAACATAATTTTTTCTTCAACTTGAAGTGGCTTTATTGTTTATGCTTTTCTTTGAACTGAAATAAGGACAATATTCAGAATTAACATACATTATGCAAAAGATTAATTTAAGAAATTAGATAGTTGTTTAAAACATACTTGAACATGCCAACATATTGTATTAATTTTCTATCCAACAGTAGAATATTATTCACTTTCTATATTTTTTGGCTTTTAAAAATATATGCTAAAAATTTCTACCAGCTCTTGTTTTAAAAAGAGAATGAATGTCATTATTGCTTGAAGTTAATGTTATTTTTTTAAATGAATTCCTTCCTGTTCAGCTTAATTTTTTTAAGTAGGCTCTTTTTAAAATAAGATTTTTGAAAAAGTATAAAACATCCATGCAGACAACCTTCACCCCAGAACTGTCAGGTCTTTAAAAGCAGTCTTGGAACTTTTATTGTTGTCTGGTAGCAGCATTATTGAACAGATGGTTAATTGGAAAAATAAGCTGGATAATCAAATCTGATGAGCTAAGATGGGGTTAACTAGAGCAATCTGTAGTATTTAGAAAAATTGCCAGGGTGATTGGGGAATGGTGACTGCAGTCATTATTTGGGATTTGTTTCTGTTAGTACAAACATATAACTTAAAGTCACAAATCATTTTGATAAAAATTTTTTTTCCTTTCCTTTAGATAATAGCCCTCTTCCCACCCCAAACAATCATTTCTTGCAGGGGAGAAGAAGAGAGATTTGTATCAGCTGCCTGCACTGCCAGTCCAGGAAATAGCATGTCAAATTCCTGCTTTATCAGGAACCCCGCCACCCCCGGCCTTCTTCTGGTCCTCATTTATTGAGTTTGCCAGATCCTGTGCTAGGTGGTGGGACCATAAAGAAGAAATGGGATAGGATTCCATGGTGCGGTAGGGGAGTGGGTATAAACAAGTAACACAAAACAGTATGGAAACCTCCAAAGAATCCCTATAGTATGTTTAGAGCAACTGTATCTCCTGGAGGATGGTTCACAACATCTGTTTAATTACCTTTGTAATTTTCTTCACTTAAGTTAAAAACTAGTTAGCTTTTTTGATTTTATCTTCATTTTAGAAAGTGTCTCTGAGGGGTATACCTATCTTGCCAGAATTAATCTGTAAACTCACTGTGCCTCCAACAGAACTTTATACTTACCAAATGATCCAAGTGATAGTAAAGACAGATTACGATGTCTCCTTTGCAGAATGATTCTACTTGTCTGTTCTTCAGGTTTCTTTCCCTCCCAACGTTTCTGTCTGTAGGAATGGTTTTCTCTTAAAACTATGGCCTAACCATATGTTTTCTTACAATCACCGGGCCACACCCAGAGCCATACTATTCTTTTCTCAGGGACTACTTGATGTAAGCCTTTACTGTGTCCTGATTTCACATTTTCTGATGTGTGTTCTGTTAGTGAAACAGTTTCTACTACTAATGTGGTTTGTCTTTTAATCTACAGGCATTTAACAGTGTCTTTCTTTCCCCCCACCTCTCTTTCTTACTGGTTCAAATTGGAATAATAGATCTTCAATAATAAAAGACACCTAAATAATATGATGAATACTTATCAAAACTCTGAAGTTGGTTTTCTGAAAATAGCTCTCTTTTGTGTGAAATATTGAAGTGTTATCCACGAGAAGATGACTTTATGCAAATGATCATCTTATAGCTTATCTAATAAAGTTGATGAAATTTGCTTTCCAAACTGCTTTAAACAAAAAATGATTACTTAGCTATTTAAAAAGCGATCATATTTCTTTCTTGTCTTACCCCTTCTCTGCCACTCTTCAGATTTCTTACATAACAGTTAAGAAATCATAAGACTAACAAGGATGCATCTCAATTTTTTATGGTTTATGGATCAGTTTATTAGGCCAAGGGTGGAATGGGGCAAGGGTGTGGGAGGAGGTACAGTAGAGAGTATGAACATTTGCTAGGAGCAGCATGGGATAGGTGAATTTACCCAGTGTGGGAGACTAGCAGCAGTTTTAAAATCAAGTGTATCTGAGTTCAGATCAGAGCTCCACCATTTACTAGCCACCTGAACCTAGGAAAGTACTAAATCTGAAATCTTAGTTCCTTCATTTGCAAAATGGAGACTGTAATAAGGTCATGAATTGTGCCTGAACTGAACATAGAGTGATGCCTGGCACTTACTTGTTGAGTGCCTATTATCACTTTTCAAAGCCAGGAACTGCATCCTGATCAAGTCATTTAATCTTAAACTCAACTTTATATAACTTATATAATGGGAATATTGATATATTAATATGAAAAAGCTAAAAAAAATTACAGCCATATACAAGCATAAGGGGCTTAATTTCATGGAGGCTTTGCAGATATCCACCAGCCATTAGTGGCTTCTCTTGTATGAACTCTGCTGTAGCTTTTTTCCAAGTCTCTTTGTTGTTTACCAAACATTTATTTGATATTATTATTGCTAGACATTAGTTACATTTCACAAATGCTGTAGTTAGTGGAATTAAACCCATATCTTCATCTTGGTAATCCCTGTTGTATTTCAAATATGGTAAGAGCTTGGTAAAGGTTTATTATATAAATAACTAATTTCAGTATTACCATTGCTCTCTGCTTTGCAAACTAGCATAGTTTAATAGCATCATAATGGATTTATTTCCACAGAATATTTTATTGTTTCTGTGATCATATTGCTAATATTTCATCTGGATTATGTAAAAATCTAAGATATTTTCCTTACTAATATTGTGTATTGCTATGTATTTTGATGTCAAAGAAGGAAAAAGAACCACCTTGAATGTTCCTACTTTTACTAGAGAAACAAAAATTTAGGAGTAGTTTAGAATTCTGTAATATTTATAGTTTAGTGGATACACAGTTATATCACTTATAAAAATGTGCTACCATAGTTTATTTGTAGTTGAATATTTAGGATTTCAGATGAGTTTTCTCTTTTCAATAAAAAGAAATGTGCTTCAAGAAAACACAGAAAAATATTTTGGTTATCTTGGAATCACAGAGTAGAGAGTAGCTGGTTTCCTCCAAAACTTTTAGACTTTTTGTCAGACCTATAATACTTAAATAACAAGAGCAATAAACTCTTCTCATTTTTACAGTAATAGAAATGCCAATATTGTCTTTTTTTTCCCTTTTTTTTTTTTTAACTATCTCCAGTAAAGGGTATAAGCAACAATATTGTCTTTTGATTATCTCTCCTGGTGTGCCTAATTTGGAGAAAGGGAACACACCCAACAATTAATCACCAATCATTAAAAGACATCTACAAGGAAATGAAGGGTTTGTATTCTTCTGTTGTTTAAAAAAAGAAAAAGCCTCTTGGAAACTGGGATTTATTTTGCTCTTGAGTTATTCTTGAGCATTCTATTTTGCTTGTGTTCAGTGTTTAGGAATAACCTGATACTGTGTTAACATTAATAACTTCTATTTGCATTGCTATAAACTATTTAATTTAAATAAATTACTTATTGCTACATAAGAAGTTGCCCTATGCCTAGGGACCTAAAACAGTAACTTTTTTTTTTTTTAACTCTCACCTGTTTTTTTTTGGATCAGGTATCCAGGAATGGTCTGTGTGAGTGGTTTTTATTCTGGATATTTCATAAGGTTGCAACCCAGGTGTCAGTCCATTTTGTACGTAGTCTGCGTGAAGGTTTGACTGGGGCAGGAAAATCCACTTCCAAGGTAGTTCACTCATACACCTCGCGAATTTTTGTTGGTTGTTGGCTGGAGGCCTCAGCTCCTCGCCACACGGACCTCATAGGGTTGCTTGAGCGTCTGATGGAAGCAAGATGGAAGCTACCATGTCTTTATGACATCATTCCACAATACCCTATTGGCTATACAGGTTACCTCTGTTCATTGTAGGAGAATAATACACAAGGGTGTGAAAACCAGCAGGAGAAGATTTCTGGGGGCCATTGTGGAGGCTAGCTGCCAAAATAAAAGACTGCTTAATCTTTAGTGCATTTTTATAAGTGTCCAATTAATGTTTGAATAACCTTAAGTTTTACCAAAAATAATATAATTATTTGTGGGACTTCCAATTTTTATCCTCTCCTTTTCCCAACAATTACATGTCAGTGTTCATTTATTTATGGCCATTTCAAGTATTTGTATAATAGAAATCTGTTTTTCAGACATGTGGTAATAGGAGTATTATATCTAGGTAAAAGGAATCATTCAGGTTAGCAGGACTTTCACTGAAGATAAGTTCAGAACCATTGTACAACCTGCCGCCATTCTGTAAAACTCTCTGAATTCATCAAGCCTTCAGCATTTATCTAGCACCACTTATGTGCTAGGCATTGTGAATGCAGGTGTCAGTACAGAGTGTCTCTGCCCTCAAGAAGCAGCAAACATTTCAAACAGTTGTTGAAGATTATGGGCTGTGAAGTCAATTTGCTTGAGTTTAGTTCTTGCCTCTCCTGTTATTAGTTTATGACCCTGGGCCAGTTATTTAACCTTTCGATTCTTTTCTAATTATTTCCTTGTTACAGATTACCTTCCCCACAGGGTTGTTGTAAGAATTCAGTGAACAGTACCAGTGCCTACTAAGTGTGAGCCACTTGAGAATACCTGGAGTGACTAGTTTTGATAAGGGAAGTTTCCAGGGGGTGATGAGATCACATTTGAGTGGAGTCTTAGAGAGTAAGTTGGAGATCGGGCAGCACAAAAATTTGGTAAGGCCTACAGCTGGGATGCCAACCTGAAGTAGAGGCAGGGGAGCCGAAGTGGGGTGAGGCCGTGCATGCCACGTGGCAGCATCAGGGGAGGCACTGGAGGCCAGGGCCTACCTGGACAGCTGCCTGAAAGGATGTGAAGGGGCTCATGGAAAAAACGCAGTGCATGCAGTTTCCTAAGACCATCTTCACTTGTTTCTCATTGCCTTTGTAGATAGTCCCACGCTTGCCAGATCTCATGTTTCTATTTGTGGTTACGAACATTTTGTCACTGCAGTTAACTGACAAACAAGAGAAGGTTGAACCTTTTGTGGAGACCCTTCAAAAGCAGTAGGATGATAGGATTGGATCTTTTGGTTTGTTTGTTTCTATAAAGTGACCTGGTGAAGAGGGAATATGGGTTGAGTAGTTAGGAGGTTATAGGAATCTGGGGCCTAGGGAGCGGAGCAGGTACACCAGAGCCCAAGCCTGGACTTTTGTCGAGCTTGACGTTTCCCAGAGACATTCTGAGCACATTACAGTCCCAGGGTACCCACAGAACTGCCCCCTCCCCTCCCTGCACCACTCATCTCAAACTGAATTTTGCAATTATAAAAATCTAAGAAGGAGAAGTTTTACTCTCTGCATATATGTTAGTGTCAGTTTGAATTACATATGAGAGAATAAGCACCATCATCTTTTTGGCCTTTAAATCTCTGGCTCTAATGACAACCTTATTTTATAGACAAAGAAGATAATGATTATGTCAGTTTCAGAAACTCATTCTCAACTGTCCACTTCCCATTCTCAAAAGATTTTCTTGAAAACATAACTAAAAAGAGAGATGAGGCTTTAGTGAAGAAAAATTGGTTAGGAAGAGGTTTCGATGTAGTTAAACTAAGAATACTTTTGGCAGCTAGGCTAGATTCCAGACAGCTCCCAGGCCCAAGGATGGGAATTAGCGTGGTTGTTTGTCTATTTAACCTCTTCCTGGTTTTGAATTTGTCACCCAGTCCTCTTTCCCAGCAGGGTTGACCCTTCCTTGCTTTTTGGATGACACCTTCCACAGACGAGCTCTTTTGCCAAGTCCTATCACCCTCAGATATGTCTATTTCTTCTAGCTTCTTTAGGAGGTAGGTAGGTCTACTTGAAGCCAGAAGACTCTAACCCAACATCTGATATAAGAAGACACAGTAGAAATTCTGTGATACCTAGCTAGCTTAAACCTATGAGTTTTTATTAGAACAAAAATGTGACTGCTACTTTCTTTTAACATTTGGAAGCAGGCACTAATGCACCTTTGTGTTGCAACTGTAACATTATGTAAAAAATAATCAGGAAGGCATTGGTATTTTTATAACAACTATTAAGTTATATGAAGTGTGAATGTAGTAACCGGCTTTGGAGACAAAGTCTTCATTCAGGGATATAGCAGCTGTGCAGGGAGAGCCAGCTCTGAAAGGGGAAACTTTGGATTAACTTCTCCCTTCCTCAGTGGTGTTTGAAATGTGTATATTTTCTTCCATTTGCATCAGCTTTGGGGTCTGCCATTTTTTTCTCCTTATGCTCTAATTTGATATTTCATATTTTTTTGTGACTAAACATTTATGGATTTTAATGTTTAGGGGTAGTATTTTCTATTCATATAATACAAGTAGTTTGATGTCTGGTTAGATTTTTTTTTTTAATGGTTGATGGAAGCTGGTCTTGTAGCTAAAGTAAATCTTTCTATAAATAAATGCAGAAACATCTGTGAAGGGCATAGTCTGAATGTGGCAGACATATGAATTGCATCAATTCCCATCTTGTGGCCAAGATTTCTTCCTTGGGCTTTCTTTATAGCTAATGTTGTGGCAAAGTTTCACATTCTCAGAGCATTAGGCAATAAAATGGTCAAAAGAAATGCTGCCAAGTTACCCTCTTAGGTTAGTCAGTAGAAGGAATTTGTACTCACCGAGGAAAAGTGCAGTGTGTTTTTGTTTTTATTTTTTAGGGCCGAAGACCTGAGAGGTCTCCTTCAACTTCAGTTTTAGCCCTGGCTTTAGGCAGTTTTCCAAATGTATAATTGCTTTCAAGAAATTAGTGTGGTATCACAGAGCTGGGGTCAGTAGAAAAAGAAGACACAAAGTCTCTCCTAGGACTCCATGGGCCCATCAAATGACCTTTTATAGAAACAACTGAAATTCCCCTTTCAAAAGCACAAAAATGCTAATTGAAACCAAACAGAAAACAAACCCTCCCGGCAAGGACTGCAATTCAGATGGCTAAGAGGGAAAGTGGGGACAGGGGAGGAAAATTCTTGGGAAAATTATTTGAAGCCATACACTTGTCTTTTGCTCTTTGGTGATTGATTGTAAGTTAAAATGGAATGATATAGGATTTCTAAGATAAAAATTCAGCCAGCACTGTAAGAACCCTGTGTACCTTTGCAGGAACCTGTGTAGATCCTCCTAGAATACCTGTGTGGTGCTGTCCTTCCTCAAGACTACCTCGTACTCACTGGCTCAGAGACTCCTGCGTGCTGAGGTGAGTGGTGCTGAGGTGTACTCCTCACGTGCGTTACATTCTAGAAGAGTGCACTTTCAGTGACTTTTTAAAAAGCCTTCCAAAGTTTCAGGACACTTTTATAGATCGTGTTTATTAGTAAACTCTTAAGAATCATCATTTGTAAGCCCTTTATTTAGAGAAGGACTGAGTATAGTTGGTGATACTATCTGTTGCTACTGCAATATAATTCCTAGATCCAAATTTGGGTTGACGCTAAAAGCATCATAAAACATGCCTTAGGTTTCAGATTTGGAGTCTGAAGCAAAATACTTCAAAGCTGTGTGCCACCACTCTTGGGCTTTCTGAGCACAATTCTACTAATGCTATAAATTGGCAGCCTCTTTTAAAGCAGAGAAGTATTTCTAATAGTGACAGCTTAGAAAATCTTGATGGCTAACAAGTTTTTCAGACTTTTCTCTATAATAATCTTGATAAGTCTGAAAAATTCTATAGCTTATGTTTCTGTTTCTTCAATATTGTCTATTATTGCTTCATTAAGTCAAGGGGTGGGGGGGACACAAAAATCTCCGTAGGTCAGAATACGCAGCTAAATTACATCTCAGTTTTAGTATGCTTGCTGTATGTCATCTTTTGTCTCTTGAGTATTTAAGTGACTTATTGTTCCCAGGAGGGAAAATAATTTGACCTTGTTTGTAGTAGTTATATCACTTATGCATAAATCGTTGATACTCTACAGGTGAATAAACTCTGTAAGGGTACCAGCCAGCCTGATGTCTCATAAATTCCTTAATCTCTCACTTGCAAACGTTATGTGCGTGTATTTTTAACTAGATTATGGATCTCGAAGGCCTCACATAAACTGATTTCCCCCTGAAATAAAAAACTTTACAGCCTTTTAATAATTCCTAGATTATACGAAGAGGCTGGACTGCTAAAACCACAAATTCATATCCTCACCTGTTCAGTTGCTCTTTTGTAGACCCTGCTATGTTGCTTGCAACATTAGCAAAAGCCATGAATAGAAGGCTACAAATGTTGATAGTCAAAAGATAGCCTGATTCTTATAAGGCAATTTTGTTATATCCATGTGAGAGCCAAAAAGGCCTATTTAGACCCTATTTGTAAGGCCCTGCTATTTGTAATATGGTCTAAAAAAGAAAAGCATAAGAAAAAAAATGTGCTATGTAATACAGTTGACTAAAGTTCTCTCTGATAGTCACTTAAATTTTAGTTTTGGCTACCATTACTGATGAAGCTGTGCTATAAAGCTTTCTTTTATACATTAATTATTTTTTATTAAGGAGGATCTATGACTAAGTTATATGGAGAGGAAGTGTGGTTCAGGGTTAATGTTTGGGGATTTTGTGTATTTGGGTTTGAACATTTTAGTTATTTTGTTTTTCTGGATCACTAGTAGTTATCCACTAATACAGGTGGGGATTGTATGAGTTGCTTGGAGTTTGCTGCTGAAAAGTTTTTATTTTTTGCGGTTTCTTTTCAAACATTCAAAATTCCCCAGATCAGCACACTTTGATTTTTGACTTACAGTGCTAAGAGACTTCTTTAGCTTATTGCTTTGTTTCCCTTTTTTGAATGAAGTGTTACTTTAAAATGTTTTAAATAAATAAAGGGCTTGCC